ATGCAACATTTAGGTCAGAGTCGTTTTCAGAACTACCTAATTGTGACCTCAGTTGTTCCTGGAACCCACTTTTGGTTTTCTTGTTACTCAATTCAGTTCCATCGCAGTCCAAGCAGGTACTCCAGGATGAGCGACAATCTTCTATCGACCCTCTCCAACGATGACTGATGGCAATATGATGTATTGGAGTCCATCGTTGGTTTGGTGCAGGGGGTCGCCATATTAGACGATGTCTCTCCTTAAGCTTTAAATTTGTGTTTTCTAAAAATAAACTATTGCCTGAGCATAGCTGCAGCAGACGATCACCATTATCTGTTCGCTGTGTCGGAATACTAAAATATCCACCTAAATGCCTTTCTGTTTGGTTTAAACTGCCTATCTGAGCATTAAAATCACCTGCTACGAGTACTATGTCTGAGCGTTTAGCTTTCTGAAGAAGTTCAGAGAGCTTTGTGTAAAATTCATCTTTCACTTCATGTGAGCTGCAGTCAGTGGGAGCGTCGGCAGAAACGACAAAAATGCAAGGACGTGTGTCCCTGTTCTTCCGAGTTCTTAGGAAGCCGTTTAGCCGAACAGCACATAGACGACTGTTGACGGGGATCCACTCTAGCAGTGCTTGTTCCGCCCTCATGCTTAGTGCTATGCCTACACCTGCAAGTCCACGAGAGCTGGCCATCGGGTCGCCAGATACACGGATGGCGTATCTCGTTGGCTCTCCGTTTTGCCGAGGTGAGGTCAAGTGAATGACCACCCTGGGATCCTGTATGCATGTTTCAGAGACACAGCATACATCAATGGTACGAGATTCTAGGGTTCTAGCCAAGGAAGCCTGTTGACCGATTTGACCTAGGGTGTGTACGTTGAAGGCTGCAATGTGTCGTTTGGAGCGAGGTTTCAGTAGATGTGGGACAGTGTTTTGCGCACTAGAATCGTTGGCTATGGTTACACTTGAGGAGGAAGCAGAAAGAGGAAGTTTAGTGTTGAAAGTCGATGTAGAAGGAATATTAGGAATCGAAGAGGAAGGTTGATTATGAATACAGTGGTCTTGAGTGCTGTTAGAGTTATGAGGGCGGTTTTCAGTTTCCGGTTGCCCACACCGTGGAAAGGTTTCTGGAGGTAACTGAAAAGGAAATAGGATTAGAGGTGGTCTCAGTGACCTGAGAGCATGACCAAAGTTCCCAAGGGACAACTGCTTGAGGTCGGTCACACATGACCTTTTTATGAGTTATTTTTTTGTTAGCTCGTACTTGTTTAGACTTTACCGCCGGAGACAGATATCCGTGGGATGAAGCGAGGTGCACATTTTTAGGGTCGACCTTTTCTAACCTCACCCCTCCTTGTGAGAAGGCAGCATCGCTGTCATGCTGGTTGTCTGAAGGAAACAGCTTACTACTGTCATACTTCTGTACAGTCAACAGTACGACTTTGCCTTCGAACATTGGGTTTGTTGCTTTTAGTCTTACCGCTCTTCAAGCGACTTGTCTGGCATTGTAGAACCTTTAAGAACGCTTGTTCTAGCCAGTATAGCTTGATTGCTTCATCACGATAGGCAAGCCCGACCACCACGTCAAGGTAGAAACAACGGTCGGGCAGTATTCGTTATTTAAATGTCGAACGGTGTCCCCTAAAAAATACTTAAACCTAATTAGTCTTCACTTGAACATCGTGTTAGGACTTACGGCTCACTGTCATCAAAGTTGGCCAACTGAAATTGTGTTCGTTACAGTTGCCCACTTTCTTCACTTATCTTTAACTTTGTCATGGAAATTATTTTATTGATAACTCTGCTTTAGTTTAACCTCGATTATCTCTCTATCATAAGACTCACCTATGGACTTGTAATACGTAGATAGTATGGTTTTGTTTAGCAAAAACGTCAACAAAATGCAGAATTTACTTAAAGCCTTAAGGAACAATACAATCATATTCATGACGCGTTTCTCTCCCTTTAAATGACAAAAGTTCTCTCACTACTAGTTGTTATCGATTTCTAGACTGGCCACAGAGAATAAAGTAGTTGAGCTCCTTGTCCACTCCACTTATTTCAAAGGCTTCACTAGCCTTGTTCGGTTGGTGCCTGGTGAAATCTCGGTATCGATTTAGAAATCCCGATTATTTTTTGCAAACTTATGTCGCTTAGCGTGGGCGAGATGTCTATTTCCCTATCAAATAGGCGAGTACGCGGCTCAGGAGTTCACTTAGTATTACTGAGTGTATGTGAAACATGACCTATGAAGATATAAGACATAGACTACACGCTTTGTATCACAAGTGTCTTCGGAGCATTACTCGCATATCATGAAGCAATGGATCGGCCCATTGTGAGATTGGGCACAGGATACTAGACAAAAATAGCAGATCAATCGATGAGATTTTGTTTCATCTCTCTCATCATGATTAACGTTATAACTTGTGGTCTCGTGCCATATTAATATATTATGTAGTGACACTGCCAATTAAAGAACAGTGATTTATCGACCGGACCAATGACGCGTAAACCCGTACGAGCAGTCTACAGTTTTTATCGGTCCTTCTTCCTTCTTAACCCTGCCTGTTGAGTCCAGAACACCAATCTCAGCCTCTGCGATATGAATAATGTATTTCAAACCTACTGGGTTTATATACAAACGAAAGAGACCACATCGTACCATATTATGGTAAATAACACTTGTACAACATTTAGCCAAAAGTGGCTGTGAATGTGAGAGACTGTATGTAATAGACTAGGTATAACTCAATAATGGCAAATCGTATAATATTAGTCCATGGGTCGAAATAAAGCTTATAATAAGAGGAATATGAATATGCATATTTTAGCTACTTAACAATTATGCAATAAAAATATATGTATAGTATTAGTCCATAAATGGATCCCAACAGTTAGTATTCATAATTCTCGTTGGGATATAACAATTGATGCTACTATTGTTTCTACTCTTTTACTATTCCGCTTGTTAATTCCATCTTACCATGTTCATTTAGTATGTGAAATTGAGTTACTGTACATTTATGCCAGACTATGTTGATTATGACTAACTGAAATACCAGAAAGCATGAAATGCAGTTCAAAAGCTGTGTAGAGATTATTTCAATATATTTAACCACATTTGGCAAACACAAATCCTAAAAGATGGCCAGAAGACGTTCATAATTATTTTGTTAATATCGAGATAATTCATTCGATAAAATTGGAGATTTTTATTATATTCATAAATCGGTAACTTCTGAGAACTATTTATTGACAAATATTATACGTATATTCTTATTTTATAACTATTCAGTATCTAGGTTATGTATATCTATACTCCTTTTATTACAAGCTTTATTTTGACCTATACGATTTACTGTTCTTAAATCATGTTCAGTTTATTAGTTACCGTCTCCCACAATCACAGCCGCATTTTGGCTTGATCTTTTACAAATGTTATTTCCTATTTTATGGTATGATGTGGTCTGTTTGGCTGGTATACAAACCAGGTATGTTTGAAGCAAATGACTTATAGTGGAAGATGGTATTGGTGTTCTGAACTCAACTGGTAGGGCTAGGAGGACGCTAGACTTCTCATACCGGTTGAACGTAATTGGTTTGGCACAGTGCTAAAATTGAATAAGTCGTACTCCGATTGGTGAGTAAGTCACGTGATATTTAACCGGCTTAAAGTCACAACACCTCCATCTATCTGTTTACCATTTACTTGTCTTATTTGTGCGGTGCATATTTATTCTCAAACTCATTTGTATCTTGAATTTATGTTTAAATAAAAAACCACTACATACTAATCTCGTTCACTTGTTCTTTTTAGTTTATTTGTTTTTGATTAAACTCCCCTTCCTTCCTCGATTTCTTCAAATTCTCACTTTATAATTTGTGTAGTGCATGTTTATTTTGATACTGTAAGTTATACACACTTGATTTTTAAAGCATTCATCTAGAAAAACAAGAAAAAAAGCAGAGTAAGGGGTAAAATGTGTACTATTTTATCATTCAGATGCATAGTATAGATGATCATACTGTTAAGGTGCTGTAATGCAAGACATATCACAATCTATAAATCTCAATAAAAATGCCTAAATGTCACACTTTCACCGTAAAACTGGCGTAAATCGCCTATGGCTGGGAGTTTTATATTTTCAATCTGTAAGTTATTATTATAATGAGCAGCCTTGTTTCTTATTCTATTTTTTTCAACTCATTGGTGGGTGCATAACGTTGGATTACATTCATTGTAATTCCCTACTTTTTTGTTTTGAAGTATGTTTTGACGATTGTGGATCCATGAAACAAGTGCATTTCATACTCCATTGGACAACATCAGAGCAACTCCCTGTGAAGCATTTTCTTCTTCGTGATTAGGGTACAGCAGCATCTCTCCTGTACCTAACCTTTTCTATCCGGCTTGAGTCCAATGGGTTTCACTGATTCCGAGAACCACCAATCGTATCACCTCTTTTCATAACTATTTGACTGGTCTTTCCGGTTTCTCACATTGTCCGGACATTGGCCTCGTGAATTCCGGAGAGTTTCACTATTAGGCGTCATAATTCTAAATGAAGATCCTTCAACTACCAGGACAGAGCTTAAATTGTTTAAAATGTTTATTCTGGCCATCGTTTTTCAGCACGGTTGTTTTCTACGGGATGAGGTTGTTAACCTCTTGCCTAACCCTCCTCCTCTATCCGCGCTTCGGACCCTAGACAGGCTACAGGCGGAGTTATGTATGAGATATCTGTCTCTTGTTCTACCTGGGCAATATACTAATGACTGTCTCGTCAGTTGAATCTTTCTTAATGCAATAATTTATGCTTAGAATTAAAACTTTGTTTTTTTGTGGGTTTATCTTCCTGAAACTTTAATATCAATCCATACTGTATTCTGTCTTGTGTCTGTATGCTCGAAAACACTGTACTTTTTAAATTTGGATTCTACATTTACGCACACACAGCTTTACATGTTACAAATTCATTCTTAGTCTTCGTTCTACTTTATGCTTGTTTAATAGTTTGTGGACAATTTCGTGATATATCAGCTTCATCATTTATGGAAGTACAACTCAATTTGGACTATCGACGAAAATGGGATGATAAGATTGTAGAATTGCAGTGTATTACACCGAATAACGATACACATATTAAAGATTTAGATATTATTCGTTGGGTTGTACGTTTTCCATTTCCTATGGTCAATCGAGAATATATTTACGTAAGACGTTGGTGGATTCAACCTAATGAATTTTCTATGAATACGGAGAAATCACTTGCATTTCATAAAGATTATCCTTCAGAATCAATTCTTTTATCTCAAGACAGTACAACTAAGAACATTTCTACTAGACGCTATGCCTATCTAATTTCTCGATGCTCAGCAGATTTTAAAGAAAAATGTATCCAATCTTCTGATATTTTTTCAGTAAAGTCTTCATGGGAAAACATAAGAAAACGAGACTTTGTTCAAGTTCATGAATATCATTCTGAGATGTTAATTGAGTCACATGGAGAATTCAATCAAGTAAGCGCAATTTAGTTATTTGTATTATATATGTATAGCATAATGTCTAAATTATAATTTGATTAACTCCACCTACCGAGCAAAGGTTTATATATTATTTAGTTTTCAGTCTGTTATGACCTTGAAGTTGAGGGTTCAAAACTTTTCTCCACCCCGTCGCCAATTGTTATGGCCTTGTATGTCTGGTTTTTCTATCGCACGACTTATCTACCAATCCGAATACGACTTATACGAATCTTCACACTAGGCCAACCAATGACGTTCGACCGGTGTGGGCAGTTTAGCGTCCTTATTGGTCCTATGTCCTACGAGCCCTTCCACTTGAGTCCAGAACAAGATACCAGCTTCCGAATCAGAGCAGATCGTTTGTTTCAGGCATACTTGGTTTATATATCAATCACACAGACCGCAACGTACCATAAAATAGGAAATAATATTTGTACACTAATAAGCCCAAAAAGTGGCTGTGAATGTGGGAGGCAGTAGTTAATAAACTGAACATAACTTAAGAACCGTAAATCGTACAATAATAAATTATAGGCCAAAATAAAGCTTGTCATAAGAGGGATATAAATATACATAATGTAATTGTTGAATAGTTATACAATAAGAATATTAGTCCATGAATAGTCCTCGGAAGTTACCTGTAATTTAATCTCCACTCGGATATAACACAGTCACACTTTAGTTTATGTGAAGGCTTTCGGATTCGAAGTATATGGGAGTGTTTTATAAGCCTTGAACCTATCGGTTAAAAATGGAGTGCTTTGACCATTAAGCCACCGGTTGATTTTAAGTATTTTTATTCAAATGAATCTAATGGTCAAAACAAAGCGTGCTTCAAGTATGTAACTAAATTATTATGATAAATCATGGTTATTGTTACACGATTGTTGCGAAAAATAACTATAAAGTGGATATATTTCTTTAATGTCTTGTAAGTTATTTCACTTTCACTCTATTGAAATTTACTACGGTTTTTTTTTAAACTTTTATAGAATGGACTTAATTACTATTTAATTTATTATGATGATCCGTGTCTTCCGATTAATGGATCCCCAATAAAATTATTTTCTGTCAGAGGTAAGTTTATTTGTTGATTTTATTTTGTATATGCTTTTATTTGGCCATTCATATTATCAGGTGACAGTTTGTTTTATATGTCTAACAACATTCAAGTATATATTGTTCGTCACCCCTTTGTCTTTCAAGTGTGTAGATGTAGTAGAATGTTTGTAATCAAGATATGCATTTTTGATCTGAATCACAATAGATAGTCGTTTCTACATTATCTGTATCAATAGGACTAAAAGATCTTAAAAGACATAGATATATGGATGGTGGTCGAACAGTATCAGAATGGTTGACGGGATCTAGATGTACATTATTCTATTCGCTTGATCACAATCAATGATCCCTTTATGATAAATACAGAGAAATCAGTTTGACTAATATAATTCCTAAATATTAGTAATATTTAGTAACAAGTCCTTCAGATAGTCGTACAGATTTCATGATCTAGTTGTTAATACATAGATCCAAGTTTCACTCTTCCTTTAATCTTTATCATAATTACCGACGTCTACTGTAGTCTTGTCCCTTAACTCAATGGTATTAACCGGTGTTCGGTAAATCTTGTGACTGTATGTCTTTCTACAAGATTATGCAAATAATTTATACGAACTTACCGAAAGCTCTGTACCCGTGCATTTATGGTTCGGTTAGAGTATGTGGGGAAGTGTCTTTTGGATTGCCTACGTTATTTGCCCACTTTTAACATGTTTACTTGATTTTATCATATATATACTCTTGGAGGTGATATTTGCATTGTCTCACATTTTCTGGTATTGATCTCCTACACCGTGACAATCTCAATGTCTTAGAATAGACATGAAGCATAGTCCTGTTAGCTGAAGAGATTGACGAAATCCAGAACCTTTTAAAAGTTTCAAATGAAGATGATTCCATTGAAAATGGTCTGCATCAATAATTAATCTAATTATTAAAAGTAAGACAGTTAAACCTGTCGATCATTTCAATAATCCAAGATACCTAATCGGCTACGACAAGTTAATGGTTCTTGAAACTTGTGCAGTCAGTCATCTACAATGTAGAACTAGGCACATATATGCATTGGTTCAAAGTTACCATACCTCATTAGCACAACGAGATGAACACCAAATTCATAGAAGCAGTTACTTCACTTGTAATAAATAAAATGTTATATAAGATTAGTTCGTAGAAAGAAAGGTATAGAGTAATTTTAATCTCACAGTTTAAGAGAAGACAAAGAGTGTATACACCGATTCTGAGCTGTGTCACCCAGAGTCTCCAACCATTCGTTAAGTTAGTCGCGCGGAACTCTGCCAACATGGCTCAGACCAAAAGTTAGTGACTTTATGGATTGATGTCAAGTTTTATGCAAATTAAAGAAAAAACATTAAATAATAACTACAATACTTCACTTAGTATTGTTTGGCTTGTATCTTCCCATTGAGGTTTAGGACTGCAATTGATCAGTCTGTTATTGGCATATGTGCATACTGTGCGTATGCCTTGATATTACCTTAATTCACAAGCTTTTTGTAAGCAATGATGGATAGTGGCTAGCAGTGGAATCCAGGACGCGCGCCACTTCGTCCTATTTGGGACTCGTCAGCTGGATGTACCTGCATTTCAGAGTTGATGTTCACTCTGGAACTCGAAACCAGTAGTAGTATTTTTATCTAACGAATCTATTGGTTTTATCCCTTTTAAAACGACACTTATTTAAGCTTTAATTGGATAAAATATTTCCAAAATAAATTGAGTTGTACAAATAAAATTCCTTTATATTATCTCTTACTATTGTTCAATTCTATTTTTTTTCTCCCAGCTATTGAAGAATTTATGACAAAACTTCATAAAGCTGCATTACAATTATGTCATGTAGGCTTACCTATTGGTATTCCTCCCATAATATATGATAATTATAGTAGTAATAATAATAATAATAATACCAATACTACTGATAGCGAAATAAAACTTAACCCAAATCCAGATCTATTCAATGCATCAAAGTTAATACCACCATCATCAACACCACCTACAACGAAGAAACAATTCAGTGGTAAAAAATTAAATTCCTATTTCTTCACTGATCGTCATCCTTCAGAATTGAATAATAATTACATTGATTCAACTGCAGCCGCCTTATCCTAGTAATAACAATCCCCTTATGCTTATTTGTATTGCTTTGTTTAACAGTAGACTCTTCTCTTTTTTTTCTAGCGAGAGAAATGTTCACTTCATTATTCCTTCCTTTTTTCTTAAGTATTTATAAATAAGACAGATGGCTGGTATGTTTATTACTACCACTAAGGCGAATACCATTTCATGCTCTCAATAAAAAGGACTTTCGCTTTATTTTTGAACATACGTACCGGTTATACACTTTAGAATGTGATTTTGATATAAACAGTTATAATCTTGTGATTGAAGCATATATGAGGTAGTCTCTATGTAGTGTTAGTTTTGTCATTTTGATCTACCCATTATGTTTACTCAATTGTATCTAGACACATAGAAATAGATGAATTGATGTATACATTGACATATATATATATATATATATATATATATATAGCTAACATCAATGTATTCACTTTTCACGTTCCTTTTCTTTGTATATGCATATTCTGTAAATTATTTATTTATATAAAAGTGTAATCACAATTGTGTATAGTGTTTAGAATAAGAAGTTAGTACTTAGTAATTTGTCTTGGTGCTTTTCATTGTTTCTATAACTGTTTCTTTCAATCAGTAGTAGTAGTTGTTGTTGTAGTGGGTAATTCGTTGATATGTAATGATACTAAAGATTTATTCAAAGAAAGTTATTCTCCTCTTCAGTCAGTCAGTCAGCTACAACGTAGGACCAGGCACATATATGCATCGGTCCAAGTTGCCATACCTCATTAACACAACAAGATGAACACCGGATTCATAGCAGTGGTTAGATCAAAGGTGGTAATATATAAGAGAAAGATTGCATATAGAGATATAGTACAAGAAGAAAAAATTGGTTCGTAGAAAGAAAGATATGAAGTGATTTTAATCTCTTAATTTTAGGGAAGACAGAGAGTGTATACACCGACGTCATTGTGATCGATTGTGAACCATGTCACCAAGAGTCTCCAACCATTGGTTACGATAGTCACGCGGACCCCAACCAAGTAGTCTGCATCTACCAACATGGCACAGACCAGAAGTTAGCGTCTTCAAATACTGATGCCACGTTTTGGTTTGGCCGCCCTTAACATTCTTCCAACCATCCCCAACACCTGTTAGCATTACACGTCGTGGTAATCGGCGTTCAGGCATACGGAACACGTGGCCCGACCATCTCAGTCGATGAAGATTCACAACCCCATCAAATGATTTGTCATCATTCCCTAATACCCTGCATCTAACAGTGGACAACCTTATCGGAGGTTGCCAAATCAGATGACAGTTCGCCATAAGCTCTGACTCGACTAGTAGTGTTCGAGTAAAGAGCCTTCACAAGGTTTATGTACTTCTGAGGTACGCGTTTCAATGACAGACTGCCACAGAATCTCGCGGTCTACCGAGTCAAATGCTGCTTTTAAGTCAAGAAAGACCACGATTGTCGGACGCCGATAAGTATGTCTGTTCTAGAACCTGACGAATGGTGAATATGCGGTCGATGCAGCCACGATCAGGTCTGAAGCCAGCTTGATTCTCTCGTGTTTGCAGTTCACGAGTTTTAGCTAGGTGTCCGATAATTATTGAGGCTAGTATTTTAGATACTATATTAGTTAAACTAATCCCTCTATGGTTGTTACAGGATGATTTTGACCCTCTCTTATATATTGGGACGATAAGTGATTGTGACCAGTCAGATGGAATAACGTCTAACTCCCAGATCTTAGCTCAAATATTAGTCAACCTAATCGCTAAAATTGGACCACCATCCTTAAACACCTCTGGAGCCAGTCCATATGGACCAGCTGCCCTTCCTCGTTTCAGATTAACTATAGCCTTTTGAACTTCAGCTAGAGTTGGGGGACCTACTTCAACGTTCCATTCACACTGTCTGGGAATGGAAGGTAGTTGTACAGTAGCTGAAGGCCAGTTGAACTGTTCTCTGGAATGTTCCGCCCATCGTTCTAAACGTCTGAACTGGGAGCAGATGAGAGTATCGTCTTTTTCCGAGATAGTCTCACTTACATTTAACTTATTAATTCCAGTTTCTTTTATTAGTCTGTAAAGCTGTCTTGTGTTTCCTACAGTCGCCGCCTTCCCCATCTCTTTTGCTTTCATTGCCCATCACTGCTCACGGTCGTTTCTTAGACTTTTTCTTAACCTAGATCTGATTTGTTTTCGCTCTTCATCATGTTCGGAACCTGATGGGACGAGTTTACGAGAATCCATCAGTGTGATAGACTTTGAAGAAATCCATTGGTTCTTAGTAACCCTGTGGTTTAAATCACTGATAGATGTCACTCCTATTTCCACAGCTGTTTGTATATCTTTCCATGCAACATTTGGGTCAGCCTCGTTTTCAGAACTACCTAATTGTGACCTCAGTTGTTCCTGGAACCCACTTTTGGTTTTCTTGTTACTCAATTAAGTTCTAATGAGTCTTTTTACTGAGGCTTTTTTGCGTCCAGTGAGGCGCGAGCAGATGCATACCCGTATTAGGGCGTGGTCGGAGTCCAAGCAGGTACTCCAGAATGAGCAACAATCTTCTATCGACCCTCTCCAACGATGACTGATGGCAATATGGTGTATTAGAGTCCATCGTTGGTTTGGTGCAGGGGGTCGCCATATTAGACGATGTCTCTCCTTAAGCTTAAAATTTGTGTTTTCTAAAAATAAACGATTGCCTGAGCACAGTTGCAGCAGACGATAACGATTATCTGTTCGCTGTGCTGGAATACTAAAATAGCCACCTAAATGTCTTTGTGTTTGGTTTAAGCTACCTATCTGGGCATTAAAGTCACCTGCTACGAGTACTATGTCTGGACGTTTAGCTTTCTGAAGAAGTTCAGAGAGCTTTGTGTAAAATTCATCTTTCACTTCATCCGAGCTGCAGTCAGTGGGAGCGTCGGCAGAGACGACAAGAAGGCAAGGACGTGTGTCCCTGTTCTTCCGAGTTCTTAGGAAGCCGTTTAGCCGAACAGCACATAGACGATTGTTAACGGGGATCCACTCTAACAGTGCTTGTTCCGCCCTCATGCTTAGTGCTATGCCTACACCTGCCAGTCCACGAGAACTGGCCATCGGGTCGCCAGATACACGGAGGGTGTATCTCGTTGGCTCTCCGTTTTGCCGAGGTGAGGTCAAGTGAATGACCACCCTGGGATCCTGTATGCGTGTTTCAGAGACACAGCATACATCAACGGTACGAGGTTCTAGGGTTCTAGCCAAGGAAGCCTGTTGACCGATTTGACCTAGGGTGTGTACGTTGAAGGCTGCAATGTGTCGTTTGGAGCGAGGTTTCAGTAGATGTGGGACAGTGTTTTGCGCACTAGAATCGTTGGCTATGGTTACACTTGAGGAGGGAGCAGAAAGAGGAAGTTTAGTGTTGAAAGTCGATGTAGAAGGAATATTAGGAATCGAAGAGGAAGGTTGATTATGAATACAGTGGTCTTGAGTGCTGTTAGAGTTATGAGGGCGGTTTTCAGTTTCCGGTTGCCCACACCGTGGAAAGGTTTCTGGAGGTACCTGAAAAGGAAATAGGATTAGCGGTGGTCTCAGTGACCTGAGAGCATGACCAAAGTGCCCAAGGGACAACTGCTTGAGGTCGGTCACACATGACCTTTTTATGAGTAATTTTTTTGTTAGCTCGTACTTGTTGACACCTTACCGCCGGAGACAGATATCCGTGGGATGAAGCGAGGTGCTCATTTTTAGGGTCGACCTTTTCTAACCTCATCCCTCCTTGTGAGAAGGCAGCATCGCTGTCATGCTGGTTGTCTGAAGGAAACAGCTTACTACTGTCATACTTCTGTACAGTCAACAGTACGACTTCGCCTTCGAACATTGGGTTTGTTGCTTTTAGTCTTACCGCTCTTCAAGCGATCTGCCGGACATGGTAGGACCTTGAGGAACAGTTGTACCTCTTAGTTTATCTATTCTTGTTAATATATAAAATTTTTGTGAAATTTTATTCTATTTATTTGAACACATAAATATTGGTACGAGGTGGTACCAGATATATATGCGCCACACAAAAAAGATGAGAATGGGAAGAGAAGAAGAATGTAAGGCGCGTATTAGAGAGAAGAAAAGAAAAAAGAGAGAACAATAACGACTACAGATTAGTGTATGGTAGTGTAATAATAAGAGGGGTAACGGAAAGTTACAACCAGAAAGAATTTCAGTTCAGGAAGTTACAACCACTTTCTATGAAAAAAGTAAAAGGTTACAGCTGGATCGCCACTGGCTTCTATTCTGAGCCATATCTGATAACGTCTCTAGCCACTGTGTTGCACCATCCCTCCGAACCCAGTCGGGGAGTCGAGAAGAACAAACACAGGCCAGTCCTTTACAGCTTTCATACCACGACATCATGTCATACACTGACCACCCCTCCGCTTTTTCCAACCAGTCCCAGCGTCGGCAAATAATGCACGACGTGGAATTCTCTGGAGCGACATTCGTAGAACACGAAGAAGCCACCGAAGTCGATGTTTCAACATTGTAACACCAATTGGATTATCGTCTCTGTGCCCGAACACACGATGGCGAACCTCTGCATTACTAAAATGGTGTTTTCTTTTTGTGAAAAATGAAATGACAATGATTACTGGATATACTTCTCTTACTCCTATTACAATTTTTGTGAAAAACTCAGTTCTATGTTTAATAGTGATGGTAATATTTAGTTAAATGTAGAATTTGATAAAACGCTGAATCGGTGTGATGCTTAAACTTTTCGTGAAAATTAAATTATATTAACAAATTAGTTTATTGACTGATTTTCAGATGAAATTGTCACTCTATACTTAGGTTGGTCAATTTATTTGTTTAATAGATAGATGAAACTAGGTTATTAAACCGATAATTGGGTGATTTTGTGAAGATATATATTTGAAATGTAAACCAGTTGATGGGATATTGAACACTGAATGGTTTCCTCTTTCTGGTTTGTGACTTTCTATAAGATTTATTCCAACGACTTAACATATAATATTGAACCCAAAAATTTCCGTTTTTAAAGCAGGTCAAATATTTTTAAATAAAAGACAGTCTAATGTATTTCTAAAACATCAAGTTTTAGCCCAATGATGTATTTTGGTGCTTAATCTAAAAACTGAAGACAGTGAGAATTTTATTAGTTGAACTCATGAAACTGTATAAACTAGACCACCATCGAAAAGCTGGAAGCACTGGACGGCCATTTCGTGCTTGTGTGTCCCTCGGCAACAGTACCCACGATCTCGCACTTGGTACTCAGACCCAGGACCTTCGGTTTCGTGCGTGAGAAATGTTGGATTTATTAGTTATTAGATGTTTTAGAAACTTTACTGAAAGATCAGATCACTTGTTACTATTTGCTATTAAAAATGGAGAACTGAATGGATATTCGGGAAAAGTGTTTTGTATCCATAATTTATTCACACAATAAAGTGGAATGTACGAATTTTCGCACTGATTTTGCTAGAGGATAGGATTCAGCTTTAAAAGAGCGGATTGAAGTGAACGAATTAGAAATGAGTAAACATAAATTAATATGGGAAAGTAGAATGA